GCACACGGAAGCAGAAATTGGTCCCTTGATTCCCTTCTGATGCGAGTCGACCTTCACTGCAGAGAAACTTTTAAGTTTCAGTGGTTTTAACCGAAGAAAAACAAACAAACAAAAAGTCCCATTTTCACCCCTCAAAAACAAAAGAACAGAGAGAGAAAGGACACAAAGGAGGAAGGAAACGTGTTCATCCAGCGGCCACAACAGCTGGAACACGTGTACAAAAGAGATCGACGCGGAATTAAGATAAAAGCTCCGAATGATAACCGAGGACACATCAACTCACCGGCGGAGGAAGTTTCCCCAAACTAAAGAATAAAAACATCCTGCGTTCTAGAGACAGCAGCAGTGAGGTGGGCGGGGCATAACTTAAGTTAAAAAGAGAAGAAGAAGTGGACACTGCGGGTTAAAGAAAAGTTAAAAATCTAAGAACGAAGGCCTTCAAACACGACGAGGGGACAAAAACATTCAGCTGGATTTTGCAGGCAGTGTGGTTTCAAGTCGATAAATATATATTTATATATAGAGAGATCTTATAGATGTATATAAATGTATTCATTTAAACTTACATTATATTCCACTTCATTTTGATTCAAAGAGCTTCAGCCAGAGTTTCCTTCACAGACACGAACACACTCCCACCACAGAGACGCTCCAGAGAACCGCTCACGATTAAAAACAAGGAAAACAAAAAGAATATAAACATTTAATCCCTGATTATATACACGATGATCCTTCTACACGGCTACACCTTCCACTATAAATTAATCTGTTAATGTGCAGGTCGTCCTTCACGTCAGAGCTGCTGTGATCATAAATGCTTCGCTTTACTTAAAAAATAATAAGTTGAAAAACAAAAGCGCAAATTAAAAAAAATAAATTAAAAAAAAGTATGAAAGGGAACTGAGCTGCTGCAAGAGAAGAAGAAAGAACGAAGGCGAGGACAACTTGTTAAGATGGGCCCAGTCGGCGGGGGAGGGGCCAGTGGGCAGAGTGGGCGGGGTTTAGGGGAGGGATGGGATGATGTCAGTGGAAGGGGGGGGGGGGAGTCAGTCTGGCGTGGTCTGGCAGCCGAGCGGCGTCAGCATGGCGGGGAACATCAGCACCTTGGCCTGCATGAAGGAGAGATCGGGCAGACTGGCGATCACTTTGGCCGCCTCGTCGCTCAGATTCTCCTCTTTCCTCGGCTTCCTGTCAAAATCACAACACACACACCGTCACAACACAACACACGCCGTCACAACGTCTCACACACACACCACCACCACTGATCCTCTTCTGCACAAACATCACGTGAGCCTCTTTACTCTTTGACCTCTGACCTGGTGGACGTGCTGGTCTTCTCCATGGTGGACATCAGGCGGGCGAAGGCGTCGGCCATGCGGCTGCCGGAGTCCAGCTTGGCTGTCGTCAGCTCGTAAAGCTCGGGGTCGACTCCTGAAAGGAGGAGACGAGAGAGAGAGAGAGAGAGACGAGAGAGAGAGAGAGAGAGAGAGAGAGAGAGAGAGAGAGAGAGAGAGAATGAGTGAAGTCACTGAGGAAAGAAGACCAAAACAACGAAAAACAAACTGTTTCAGAGCAGCTGTCCGTCAGATGGACATCTGGCAGAGTCACCGGCCTTCAACTGCTGTTTTTGTATATTTATTTATTATAGTGAAAGTTTTTGGCTAAAAATGTAAAAAAATGCATCAGACAGTGAGCAGGTTTTTAAATAGACGGTGCGTCTAAAAATTCCAAAGTCAGGATTTTGACTCTAGCGGCTACACACGCTCATGATCCAGCAGTCATGAACCGAGTGATTCCTCCCACAGAGAGGGGAGGGAGGGAGAGGGAGAGAGAGAGGTGGGAGGTCCACCTAAAGACAGGAGCAGCTGCTGACCTGGGATGGAGGGCGAGCTGCTGGAGCCTGAATCCTCCACAGGACCAAAGAAATCCAGGTTTAACAGAGACGAGCCTCCGCTCGCTGCACAGCAGAGGTTAAAACACAGACAGACAAAGACAGAGAGAAGAAGAAACCAGAACACATGCAGCAGTGTCAGTGATCAGAGAGTAGAGTCGGCTAAATGTTAGACTGGTTTGACCACAAGTCTTCATGCAGAGCGGCCATGTTGTTCTCATTGCTGCGTTTAAAGGAAAGATCCAGAAGTGATTCATGAGTGCGTTGACTTGATGAGACGGTTCCTGGTGTTTAGACTGTAAAGTTACTTTACTGCTGCTTCTGTTTAGACTTTTAACATTTCAGGACTTTGGATCCTTCCGTTGAATGTATGTCGGTTGTTTTGGGCGAATATATCCGGTTGTTTTGGAGCGTTTTGCTGATTTAATGGTGACACACATCGCCCAAAACTTTAGTTTGTCTGTGAGGCTGACGAGATAAAACTACACTCCATGTATCTCTTATAATAAAGAGTTTTGTGCAGCAGGATTATGATCTCCGGTCTCATCTAGTGCCCCTCTGTGGGGGTCCGGGGCCGCTGCTGTTTATTGTGGATTTTTCCTTTAATGAAGAAAGCTGGACTGAAGCGTCTACAGACTTTAAGGAAACAGTACGAGAGGTTAGGAAAGTGTGAGAAGAATAGGACGGCGGGCCGGGGAGGGTCAGAGGCTCGAGGTCTCCTACCGTCCAGAGGGTTGGTAAGGCCACTGCTGCTCCAGTCGAACTGGACGGGTGGGAGCGCCTCCTGCTGGAGGGGACGAGATCAAACAGTCAGCTTATACACACTGATCCGTAGAGCCCCGCTGTCGACCACTGAGAGGAGGGGGGTGGGGGGCTCACCTGGACCGTGTCCGAGGGACAGGAGCTGGTCTCTGGAGCCACCGGAGGAGGCGCCTGGGCTATAGAGGCGATCATCTCTGCTGCAGAGACGGGCTTCACAGGCTCTTTGGTTGGTTCCAGCATCCCCTGGAAAAAAACAACACAGAATGCTTGTTCACATGTGCGGTGAGTTAACGTGCTTCAGAGTTCAGATACAGAGGTTTTGGTTTTACACATTCGCTACAGACATCTCACAGGTCTCATGAATCCTCTGCTTTAGAAGGAACAGCAAAGCAGTGGAACAGCTGCATGCAGACGTCAGATCGCAGCGTTACAGGTGAAATGAGAGATTACTGTTCAGAGTTTAAATCTGCATTTCATTTAAAGAGCCAGAACTCTCTGCAGAGATTCTACGTCTCATCTGGACGAGGCTCGGCTAAGCAGGCAGGTGAATTTCGAAATGTTAAATAAGATATTCAGCTTAAAGCAACATTTAAACAGAAAAAGTAGAGAAGTGACTTAAACTCGATCATCTGATTTGATGACTATGAATGATAATAACTATTTCCAGCCAAACTCGTAACAATAAAGACGCTACGGCGTCGCTGAGGAGCCTCTCTGCTCGTGGAAACACGTGAACATGAGGACGACGACTCACCAGGCTGGCGGCGTACATGGGCACGATGACCGGCTGCTTCTTCTGTCCCGTGAACAGCTGCACACAATAAAGCAGCAGGTTAGAAATAAAGAAATAAATAAAACTGCTAGTTTAGTCAGATGGCTGCCAGCGGAGGTTATTAAAAAGTCACAGATGACTTGAAGCGTCATTAAATCACAGCTAAAAACACACTCTGAAAAGGCTCAGAACTGTTCTTACAAATCAAGCTGCACGTGTGAGGCGTAAACAGTGAGCTGGTGGGACCCCGAGGGTCCAGCGGGGACTTACAATGTTCCGGGTGTCGATGCCGAGGCAGCAGAGCAGCGCTTTGTTGCAGTAGGAGCCCCCCCACTGGTATCGGAGGCCGAGCGCCTCGTGGATGTCCTGAAGCTGCGTCCACACGCAGCCACGCGCAGACCTGAGAGACGCAGCGGAGACGGGCTTCTTAAAAGACGAGTCCACGAGACTACACATTCATGCAGCAGGCAACAAAAACCGGAGTGAAATCTATTCATGTAAAAGATTTAGAAACTCATTTTGAATTCTCTTCACGTGTGTTTTTAAAATCAAGTGAAGTCAGTTTACGTATTCTTAAAGCCCCGTACGACAAATCTGCTTCAAGAGGCGTTAAACCTGCACGGCTCCATTCAGACCACACACTGTGTACAAGAAGTGGACGTTGTCATTGTCGCCATATTGGGGGTTTTTTTTTTGCAACCAATGAACAGAAGCGACCATATTTGGACCGCGGAGGTACTAAATCAAGTAAATCAAGTACTGAGGTAATAATTCAAGAGAGAAGTTACATTGAAATCTTTCAAAAGTAGAAATATGAAACAGAAAAGATGCTCAACACTTGTTGCTTCAGAAGACTTTCTTGTTACAGTTCTCATGTTTAGACACGAACTCACCTGTCGCATGGCGGCGACGTCTCCTCCTCCTCGGCCCCCGGCTGAGGTCGGTCCTCCGGGGGTCCCAGCAGGACCCTCAGGGACACCACCTGGTCCTCCACAGAGGGGGCGGCGGTCTGAGGGAAGCTGCCCTGAAACAGCTTCTCCAGACGGCTCGACAGCGACGCCTTCAGAGAGAGAAGAAGCCGTTTACTCGCATCCTACAAAACTACGTTTACAATCTGAGGAAAGGACTCGTTCAGAAAACTGAAAATAAACTTTGTGTCGGTAATATAAACAGACGTGTGGAGGCTTTAAGTTCTCCTCATTTACTGTGATTTGTAAATGCTGTACCTTCTCACCTCGTGGTGGTGTGAGGCAAAACAACACGTTTAAAATGTTTTGACATTTATTAAAGAGTTGACCTCAGAACACTTGCAACATATTTCCTGCTGGCTGCCACACTGGTTATACCGGCCGATGACGCACAATGCAACAGGAAGTGTCGGCGTTACTGTTGAAAACTGAATTAAACTGGGAATTAAACTCTGCACCGAGCTGCAGACTTGTGAGGCTCGCCACGAGCCTGTGTGTTGATGTTTGAATACCCGAGCAGAGACCCTGCAGCAGTTTGTCTACGCTCTGAACAAAAAACACACACACACACACACACACACACACACACACACACACACACACA